TCTTCTGTTCTTCTGTAAGTTAATGCAGTGCTCTATGGTGAAGAATGTTTTACATTAAATTCCTGTTTGGGCCTCTTTTCTTCCTCTGGTTCTTTCCCAGCACAAGGTTCACTCTGGGCCAGGCATGGTGGCTCACGCCTGTAATCCCAGCATTTTTGGAGGCCGAAGCGGGCAGATCACCTGAGGTCAGAAGTTCCAGACCAGCCTGGCCAACATGGTGAAACCGCATCTCTACTAAAAATACATACACACACAAACACACACAAATTAGCTGGATGTGGTGTTGGGTGCCTGTAATCTCAGCTACTTGGAAGGCTGAGGCAGGAGAATCGCTTGAACCCAGGAGGTAGAATTTGCAGTGAGCTGAGATCACGCAATTGCACTCCAGCCTGGGCAACAAGAGAGAGACTCTGTCTCAAATAAATAAATAAGTAAATAATAAAATAAAGTAATAATAACAAAATAAAATTTTAAAAAAGATTAACTCTGGTTGGACAAAAACTTTATGTTGGAAATTCCACCCAGTCCTGTCTTTTTTCCACTGGAATTTATACTCCAAAATTATCTCTCCCTTTCTTCTTACCATCAAAATCTCTCAGACTAGCTCCCATCTAGTCCCAAAGGAAAACCTTTAAGGTATTTAAACTAGAAGTTGGCCAACCATTGCCTTTGGACCAAATCCAACCCACCATGTTAATAAACCTTTATGGGAAATGGCCATGTTTATTCACTTATGTATTATTTGTGGATAATTCTGTGCTTCCACAGTAAAGATGAGTAGTTGCAACAAAGTTCATCTGTCTTACAGCTTAAAATATTTATTATGTGGCTATTTATGAAAAAAGTCTTCTGACCTCCTGCTCTAATTAAATCATATTATGATATTAATGACAAATGTTTAATGTGTGTGTGTCCTTTTAGAGGCAATTGCATTTATATAACAAATGTATTAAAACATAATTTATATGCCATAAATTTCATCCTTTTAAATGTAAAATTTTCAGAGTTCAGAGGTTTTTAGTAGATTCACAGAACTGTGAAACCACCAGCACCATTTAATTTTAGACCATTTTAATCACCCCAAAAAGAAACCCTGTACACATTAACAGTCCTTCCCCAGTTACCGACAACTACTAATTTATTCTCTGTCTCTATGTTTTGCCATTTTTGGACATTCTGTATAAATTGAATCATACAGTATGTGAATTTTGTGTCTGGTTTCTTTCACTTAGTATAATTTTTTCAAGGTTCAGCCAGGTGCGGCGGCTCATGCCTATAATCCGAGCACTTTGGGAGGCCGAGGTGGGTGGATCATGAGATCAAGAGATCGAGACCATCCTGGTCAACATGGTGAAACCCCGTCTTTACAAAACATACAAAAAAATTAGCCAAGCATGGTGGTGCACGCCTGTAGTCCCAGCTACTAGGGAGGCTGAGGCAGAATTGCTTGAACCCAGGTGGCGGAGGTTGCAGTAAGCCGAGATCGTGCCATTGCACTCCAGCCTGGGTAACAAGAGCGAAACTCTGTCTCAAAAAATATATATATATTTTTTCAAGGTTCATCCATGTTTTATCATGTATCAGAACTCCATTCCTTTTATTGTTGAATAATAGTCCATTACATGGAAATATACATAGTGCTTATTGATTTATCAGTTGATGGGCATTGGTGTTGTTTTCACTTTTTGACTGTTATGAATAATGCTGGTATGAACATTAGCGTACAAGTTTTTGTGTGAATATTTAAAAAAACTTCTTTTAGGGCTATACCTAGGAGTAGAATTGTTGTAAACTACCAAAGAATTGAAGGCACGTCCCAACACACACATAGTTTGCAACTCTTCCTTAGCCTTTACATCTTTTTGCATGGAGCCTCCAGACTAGTCAGAGGTGAGAGATTAAGGATTTCTCAGGACTTTCTTGGATATGTGCACAGTCCTGTATGTGTGTTTCCTTCTAGATCCCCAGGAGTATAGCAGAGATATTCAAAATTCTTCCCCATTATGTACATGTACATCTCATTTCTCAGTTTTTCTGTCTTTCTTTTTTGAAAGCTTCTTGTTTGCCACCAGTATTACTACCTCAGGCAGCCACACAGTTAAACCATTGTTGCTGACTGTTTTGACAAAACATCCTGGGGATAGGACATTTTCAGTCACTGAGTTAGTTTGAATAAGGATAAGCATTGTGAACAGCACTTATTCCAGACAAGGCAAATAGTGACAATTTGGGAAACTGGGACTATGTAGATAGGTCAGAACATACTCTGCGTGGCTGCTAGGCTTTTATAACTACCATGGCTTCAAGGCTGCTTGTTTTCAAGGCCATAGTAGAACTTGCAGAGGAATGGGAGCTGGGAAGAGAGTAGATTAAAATGCCACAAAGCTCACTGTTCTTACCAAGATTCAGCTGATTTTCTTGAATAAATGCTCCTTGGATTGTTTCAAGCCTGTGGTTAATTTCCAGAGTTCTCAAAAAATGTTCACAGTTTTTGCCAGTGTTCTGATAGCTTTAATGGAGGTGCAGATTTTCCCAGGTCTTCACTCTATCATTCTGGAAGTGCTTCTCCACACTTTATTTTTAAAGCATGCCTGAGGAGGCAAATGCCTTCATTAAAATTAATGGCTTTCTATTCTGAACTTTTAAGAAATTTGAATCTAAAGCCAGAGATACTGGGGAATTCATATGTTACTCCGTAGACTATGGACGATTTTAGATATACGTAAGATTTTCTCTAATTCTAAGGCATTGCAGAGCAATTACTCCTTAGAAGATGGAGGATTGGTCTCTAAGAATAGGGCAGGTTAAAGTGCCCCAGCACTTTAATAGAGGACTATTTAAATACTGCAGTAAAAGTAGAAAATGGAGAGTCAGAAGCTTGGCTGCTAACTTAGATGCTACATTTATTCAGAGTGGCTGGGTATGGCGTGTACGTAGAGACTGTGGATTGCTCCAAGCCATCCACAGTCTAGCCCTGTGCGTACCACAGCTTGATCTGACTAACTAGAGAATAAATCCTTGCCTTACAACTTATTGTCTGATCTATCACTTCCTATCTGGTTATCAGTGTCTTTATCTTCAAAAACAGAGAAAATTAGACCAGAGCTTGTCTAGATTAAATTTTTACATTTCTAACATCTAAAGTTATGAAGCATCAAATAAACTGTAATTTTCTAAAGCAGGAAATTATGCTAATGTATTTGCAGATTTTCAATGATGTTTTGTTACTTTTGACTCCCAAGTTACTTACAATTTATCAGGAGACCTTATCTCCAATGACTTCTGGTTGGTAAATACATTAATAGAATAATTATTTAGACCAAACCTTTTTACTTAGAAATAATCAGATGTAATTTCCATTGCTTTTATAAAGCCACACTAAGTTGCTCTTTATTGCATATAACATCTTTCTTAACAGTAGCCTGAAAAACTCCCACTGAATTACCTTTGTTCTGATTCTTCTAAATTATAGAAATTTTAAAATAAAAATAATGAAGTTTCTTTTTGGAAATCGACCACATCTGTTATTACCAAAAATCTAAAAGATTATACTGATAAAAATTAGTAAACAATTAGTATCTTAGTGAACATACAAAAACTGGTTTATATCATTCTTAGGATTGCTGCTCATGGCCTAAAGCACATTCTCAATTTGGACCCTCATTCAGCGCCTTTCTAAGGGCTCCTGATTACTGTGTTGTAAAAGGAGGTAGAGTCACAGTTCTTTTCAACTTTGTATGTGCTCAACTGTGACATATTTGTTATTTTCTTCTTAATAGTCTTAAATAGAGTCATGGAAGGTGAAAACTGACAAAGACCATAAATATCATCTTGTCCAGCCCTTCTCACCCTCTCCCCTCACCATTTTATAAATGAAGACACCAAGGCGCCTCTTAAAGTTTCTATATTTTAATGTTGTTTGAAACATTTGAAAATTAATTAGTTAATGATGCAGGTAGTTTTTAAGTTATATGATTCTAACCTGAATTTTATGTTCCTTTGTTTTCATTTGTTAATTTAAAACAAAAAATGAAAATAAACTATAATAATAAAAATCAATAATAAAAAAAATTATCATTTTAAATAATCCTTTCCCTTGCTTCTCTCCTTTATGCTAATAATGAAGAATTAATATTTGGGGCTTTTAGCAGATGGATTTTAGGCTACTATATTTTTCCTATGCTATGTGTCTTGGCAATCTAGGGACCAGTTCTAATATTTTGCTGATAAGGAAACTCTTGGTAAGATTTTAACACTGCATTGATTTACCATTTGTAAAGAAAGAAGAAAGAAAGGAAAGAAGGAAAAAGGAAGGAAAAAATTACCTGAAATTCCATCAGTCATTGATAATCACCATTAACATTATACAGTACATCTTTTAATTATTTTATACATGTGTGTAGATATATATTTTTAATAAAAATAAGGTATCATACTCTTTTCTAACCTACTTTTATTTTTACTACACAATATATGGCTTTAGGCTGCATTGGTGGTATAGTGGTGAGCATAGCTGCCTTCCACAACATATGGCTTTATTGTATAGATAGAAATACTAGAACTACTTATACAAATCACCATTATTGGACATTGATTGATTTTAATTTTTCCTTCTATCCTTTGTATATTTATAATTAATTAGAAAAAGTCCTATAGAAAGGAATATGTGAGTCAATTGATAAGTAAAATGTTGAAGCTTTGACATTATTGCCAAGTTGTCATCTAAGGTCATACAATTTATGTTCTCATCAGAAGAGTCCAAAACCACCAATAAGTATACATACTGTTATCTTATTGCCATTCCTTTTATTACCAAGAAGAAGAAACTTTAAAAAAAAATGTTTTATAGGCTGGTTATCAATGATATGATTTCTTGGTTAAAAGCAGCTCTCATTTCCTGTAGCTTTAAACTAGATTATTATGAAACTGAAGTCTAGCTGAGCAAGGCACAACTGATTTGCTAGGTTCTGCTAACCATAATATGCCATCTGATTTTACAGTCTCAACATGCGTGGAGTACGAGCTAGAGGTCATACGATGCTTGAGATTGGCACTGACCGATGCCGTCAAGGACATTGTACAGCAGATAGTATCTGTGATGAGCTCTAGAAGAAACTGTGAGACAAACCTAAATAAGCACAGTGTTCCTGATTGTTTGCTTGAGAGCATGCCAAAAGAATGGAATTATAGTCCAAAGGAAACTATAAGGAAAGAATCAAACAAAAGTAAGTATACTTGTTTCTCTTTAAGAAAATACACCTGAAGAAGCAATTTTCTAGGATATGCAATCAAGTAAAATTCCAAAAGTTATAAGAATCATGAATTATATTAATCTTCCTTCCACTAAGTATATTTGGGACCCTTAATTTTATTTTTATTTTTACTATGAGCCACATGATCAAGGAAACTAGAATGGAAGATTATACAAATGGTCATCTTCCTTATTTAACTACCAGTTCAGGATTTTCTGTTATATTTTGTGTTCAGGCTAATATTCACAGATGAGTCACATGATTTTGACTAATTTTCTTAAAATCTGTTGAGTAACTTAAAATCCACACTCTAGAGAAGATTGCTCTGATATTCCATTTAATTATTCTTTAAGTTTTTTTCCCTGCAAACACTAATTATTACCTTCTTTTGTTAAAACACCTACATTTGTAGCTTTTAGGTCAAAAATAGCACCCAGTTTGGTAAGTACATGTATTTTTCTGACAGGGTATTTTTCCCCCCAGTACCTCTGGTTCTAAATTGAGTGCAATGTTCCTATTCAGAATAATGCATCCACCAAGTGTACTTAAGAACCATCAGTTACCTACATTATTCGTTTATTTTATTAGTCAAGTCCTCTCTTCTTAGTTTCTCCCTGCTTAGATGTTTCCACTTTTCCAGAATTTCACAAGATTCCTTTGAATGGATATTGTGTACCTGTATTCATGAATCTTCTTTTGATTTTTTAAAATAAAACTTTTTTCTTTCATATTCATCCTTAAAGAATATTTTCACTACTTCTAAGAAAACTTTCTCTAGCTTTTCTGGAGAAACTAGAGAACTAGAGAAAGTTTCCTTAGAGTTAGTGAAAATATTTTTTCTCTAACTCTAAGGAAACTGTCAACAATAAAATACTCCAGCTGAACTCACTAAAGTCAATTGAAGGGTCTAGGTTTTCTTTCATTCTTCTCCATGGAGATCCTAAATAATGTGACCTTATGTTACAAACTCAAATCAATTATCTATCTGTGACCTTTCATAATAATGCTTTAATTTTGTCCAAGCCTTATTAAACTCCCTTTGAATCTAGTAAAACCATTTAATTGAAATTGGAAAATGTCATCTTTTCATTGCTTAAGTTCTTTCTTTTCTAAGAGTTGTTGCCATCTCTCTTTTGTTCTAGCTTTTGGATATTTCATACATTTTGAGCAATTCAGGAGGCATGATTTATAGTTAACATATCATGCCATATGAGTAGCACTGTTTTGCTTGTGGCTTTCAAGTCATTCTATTCATGAACAATTTTGCTTTCTCTAAGCACTTTGGAATTCCTCCATACCATTGCAAAGAGCCTCTTATTCCAAAACATGCTTACTTGTAGATACCAATTGTTAAGAGTTTTCCTTACTAAATAATAGTTTTCATAAAATGTTCACTAAGAGAAATACAACATAAAAACAACCAGGAAGGAATGTCATGTCCCATGAATATGTAAAAGAAAGTGATGGGAGAAAGTGACTTTATAAACCATTTTATGCATTCTAAGAGGATATGACAATACGAGATTGCCATTGTTCTTCTTTACCACTGTTTGAAATGCAAGGGAACTTTTAGATTGGCACTTTTTAAATTTTATTTTCACTACAGAATATGAGACAAAGAATGTGTGCATGCTGGACATTAAATCATTTATTAATTTCATTATTCATTCAATAGAAATTTATTAAGTGAGAGACTACTACATACCAGGCACTGTATTTCAGATCAGAGATAAACCTAAGTACAATATCTCCTCTTGGTACCAGAAGACTAGTGTAACTGTTTCAAAATGGGTACAAATAAGAGATGTACAATATTTTTGATATATAAGAAGAAAGAAAGAAATGAAACTTCACTAAAATTTCACATGGGATTGTCACTGGAGACCTTTCTTGGTCTATGAGTGAGCCAGTGTGTGTTGAGGACAATATGTGAGGAAGCTTGCGGGAAGAGTAGGGACGCCATGCTCTTGGGAAGAGGCCTTGGGCAGGGTGACCTTATTCCTCCTTTAGCTTTCCGCACACAGTAATGAATTAGAGTTGTCCTTTGTATTACAGATTCTACTTGTAACAAAATTAAACATCATAATACATACAAGTGACTTTAACATATTCCTATAAACCAGTAAGTCAACTATAGTTTAAAACTAGTGCTGCAAATGCAATCAAGAGCAAACCATGACAAAGTGAAAAAGCTCCCACTTGTTTCTATTCTTAATATGGGCTCTTCTCAGCCATATTGTAAAACAATGATGATTTGATGAGATTTGGCCAAAAAAAAAAAAAAAAAAAAGAATTGTGGGGAAACTATGTGAAATTTGAAATATGGCTTCCCATACATTTTGTTAGATGTGAATCCCTCCTAAGTCAGTATTCAGCCTTGAGATATTAGCTAGTTTTGAGTCATCTTGATAAACAAAAATTTTCTACACTAAGTATCCAAAACATGAAGATAAACTTCTGTATTTTTTTTTCTACCATGTTTTAATTTAGTGATATATAATCATGGTTCTTACAAAATTTGCCTAACTAATTATAAACATTTAAAGGCCTTTTAAAAAAATCTAAATTACTAAAAGACAAATAGTCACTACCTTAGGGAATATTTGTCCTTCTTGACACAGTAAAAATGACAGAACATGGAAACCATTATGGTGACAAACTAAAATGCATTTCTTTATTTCTTTATTGGCAAATACTGTGACATTAAAAAACACTGAAGATTTAAAGAAATAAATATTACCATAAAGATTATAGTGTAGATTTACCAGAGAGTTGGATGGAAGTTTGGATGGTTCTGACATAGCTCTGCTTTTAGACATTTGTTTCATTATGTTTCAAAGAACAAATACACAAAGAACTAGTTGTTTTGTTTTGTTTCTTTGATAAAAATTAAATGAAAGATATACCTGAGAAGATATTTTCTCAACAGTAAATTACTTTTTTAATGAAAATAATTCTTTATGGGAAAACTTTTAGAGTAATTGTTTTAATGGAAACAATGAGTTCTAGAGAAAGGAAACAGAAGTAGCAAGTAACATTTAGGAAAATGTGTCCATGCCATTGGTCACATGCACAAACAGTATTTTGAGAAAGAAATTGATGGCAGAAATACACAAAGTACTATAAGAAGTCATTAGTATAATGTATAAAAACCAGGCCTATTGGTTTCATAAGAACCAGTGTCACCTACAAAAATATCATATCTGTTCACTTAAGAATTTAGAATTAGGATTTTCTAACATGATGTAAAATATAGCCAATGGAGAGTTTCAGTGACTCTTGAATACTTTTCTTAAAAATAGAAAAATAAAATATTTTTTCATTTGTTTGTAAGAACAACGAATTGACATAATAAATGATGGATATTTATTAGTCAAATTTCAACAACAGCCTTCACCTATTTGGTAGTTAACACTGAAAAATAAATGCTATGATTTTGTGGGCACAGCTAAGGACATACTTGTTTCATGTTGACCTATATGTGTTTGTGTAGTGGCTTTTTCACCTATGACAGCCATGAAAACCTGATCTTGAAACAAACTGAACTCAGAACTTGACCTTTGTATGATGAAGTGTTAAGCCCAGATTTAAAAAATAATAAAGCATATTAAATAACATTATCCTCATTTAACAAATTGTTACTGATCTTTTCTACCATTACGAAATAAGATTGTAAAAATTAATTTTGACATTATTTTCTTTACCTCATTTATTGTAAATTTTCTTTTTGCATGTTTTATCAACCACAAATACATTATTACAGTAGTACATTACAGAAAAGAAGAAATGACAAATACATCAATATACATATATTGTATTAGTCCTAAGACATACATTTTCTTCATACTTTATCAGCTCTAAAATTGGATGACGCTTACAATATATTACATGATATATGGCTTAGACAGAAATCGACTTATTTAAATAAAGACAAAGACAAGTGTGTAGCAGTCTTCAAAGATCCTTCTCTGGTATGTTGTTAACATCATCATAGACACAGAGCGCTTGGGATTAGTAGAGTGGGTTTATTAATTTTTTATCAGCCTAAAGGTTCTGATTGAAATTTGCCTTAAACGTTAATGAAATAGCTGGGGTTTTGAGTACCTGTAGTCCTCAGAGTTTATAAAATATCAGTAGAGTGTAGGTATGCAGAAGAAAATTGGTAATCTTTACTTAATATCTACTTAGATTGTCAAATGTTTGCTCAGTATCTGTAGTTAAACCCTCTTTAAGACAGAGGGAATATAAGATACAATCTTTCAAGTTAAGACCTGACAGCAGACTAGTGACTATGAGACACAAATACATAAAGAACAATGAGACATTTCAAATCACTTAAGAATACTAAAGAAGATTTGCTTTATCTATATTTTAAGTCTCACCTAAACACATTCATTTGAATGAAAAGAAAACATTTATTGAGTAACTATTTTTAATCAGGTGCTGAACCAGGTACTTTCACATTTATGACCTATTTAATGCAACAGCCTCAGGAGATTATTCAAATATGTGTTGGACCTAGTTTTTACAGACTTATAAAAACTGCTCCAATTAATTTTTAAAATGATTCTTAAGTTGTCATGGATTGCAGAGGAGTCACTAGATTAGACATGTTTTCCAAGAGCTTCGTACTTTTTTGGAACAGAGTGACTTTTTTAATGTTACACATATCTTCAGAAAATGTTCACATTGTTCTGTTAGTTTTGTTCAGCAAAAACTATAAAGAATGTTTTATAAAAGAACTCAAAGCTACTCTCTTTTGGCTTCTCATTAAGTTTTAATGTCCAAATTCAATTATGTACGTAGTGGATTAAAACACTGTCTGGCTCTGTGGGATAATCAAGGAGCGAAGAGCTTTGTTTCCCATGCTCTGGAGTTTATAGGCTAGCCATAAGGACAACTCATGAAGATATAACATGAATAATAATAGATGATAATACAAAAATGACACAACATAGCCCTTTATGGGCTTAATTACCAAAATGGTCATATAGATAATATGTTCAAATACATTCACAAGATGGGAGAGGACTTTGAACTAAGAGTTGAAGATTATTTGTGAACCATGAAGACAGAGGGCATTCTATTGAGAGTAATGAAATACTCAGAAGCCTAAGAGCAAAGAGGATAAAGCATGTTAAAGGTCTTAAAGAGAAGGGTCATAGAAACAGGCTGAGGCTAGATTGTGGAGTATTTTGACAGCAAGGCTCAGGAGACTGATCTCATAACAGTGGTAAGTAGCTAAAATTTTCATAGCAGAGAAATTGGATGATAAAGTTCATAGGGATGAATTCAGTTTTACAGTGCAGGGGAAGGGCTGCACATAGCCTGGAGAAGGGAGATGAGTTAGGAGAATACTTCCATAGTCCAGGCACCATTTGTTAAGAAGGGCTTGATCTAGGTCAGTAACCTCACCTGGCCCCAGCAATAAGATGCCAGCAAAAAAGGGGTAGAACTATCTGATCACTAATTAGATATGAAAGATCAACAGGAACATTTAACAGGAAGGAAGAAAGGGAGGGAGGAGGAAAAATGAGAGGGAGGGAGAAGGGCCAAGCTAGTTTGGAAGACAATGAATTTGCTTTTAGTTATATTGAGTTGACAGTGATGAGAACACAGATGTGGAATGCTTAACAGAAAGCTGGAGTTATAGGACTATAACTCTGGAGAAAGGCCAAGACTTCAGATCCTGGAATCATGTAGAAGAGTGGTTCCCAACCAGGCACAGCTTTGCTCTCGGGGGACATTTGGCAATGCCTGAAGACATTTTGGTTGTCACCACTGAGGGGAATGCTACTGACATCTAGTGGGTGGAGGCCATAGATTCAGCTAAACGCCCTACAGGAGATAGTACAGCTCCTCACAACAAAGGATCATCCAGTCCAGGATGGCAATAATGCTGAAGTTGAGAAACCCTGATCTAGAGAAGAAGAACTAATACATTTTTAAGAGAAATAGCACCAAACAAGGGAGAACATGTAGAATCATCAACCAAAACGCTAAGGACTTCTTAGCAAAAACCTACATCTAAGAGGTGTTAGTAGAAAGCAGAAATGGCATAAGACATAAAGAAGCAAAGAGGAGAGCTAGAGGCAAGCAGGAACCGATTTACTGACTCATTCATTCAACAAATATTTATTGACAACTATTATATAAGAAGTACTAAGTGCTAGGGATACAGGAATGCCTCCCAGAGCTTACAGTTTAGAAGGGGGTGACAGTGTGGAGGAAAAGGACATAATTTATAGATGATGGTGAGTGCTATAATAAAGGCAATAAAATGGGGATCCCCAAAAGAGACAGTCTTGGGGCTGTGATGGGAAGGGTGAAAATGAACCGAGATGAGATGATGAGATGAGATGAGATAAGACGGTGAGGCAAGGCTTTCTGAGGAGGTGACATTTGGGTTGAGAACTGAAAGGAGAGAAACCATGCCTGAGAAGAGCTGGAATGATTCTGTCATGGATTCCAAGGGAGGAGGAGAGGGGCTTAAGGGGTAGTCAGAAGTATCAAAGCCTACAAAGCTGCCCAGCTGGGGACCTTTGCATTTGTTAATTAGGAGGCCATCTGGGTTCTTGAAAGCTGCAGTCTCTTCATTTTTGAGAGAAAAAAAAAAAAACAGATTTGTGATTTGGGGGAATTTTAGATAGGACTGACAGAGACCCCTGTTAGAGCTCTGTTGGAATATGTCAAGCACTTGATCTTCTTGCCAATTTTCTCCACAAAAATTAGACATCCTTATACAACACAAAGCCATGCAATGATTGAACGCAACTGCTAATATTAATCATACCTTTTCTTTTCTTCCCCAGGCTTCACAAGGCTTGCTGCTCAGGCAGTATCTATTGTAATCAGCAAGTTACCTACGGTGATTGCATGTTTGTCTCCCCCAATTAAATACTTCTTTTTTCTGTCTGAGAGAAAAATGTCAAAAAACTTTGTTGAATTGAAGAAAGCTGGCCTGCTTGTCTGGAACTTGATTGTAATTATATGTCGGATATTTGAGGACGGAAACACTGTGGAACTTTTAACAGGTGCCTCCCTTGACAGATGGAGTAAAGAAAAACTGGGTTTAATTTGTATGTGTTTGGAAAGCATCATGGGAGACCAGAGAAGTATCCCTAATCAAATGATCCAAAAGGTCATACAGAGCATTGAGCAGCAGAAGCCCAACTGGATTGAATGCCAGTTGTTGAAAGCAAGGAAACTGGGCACTGAATGGTAAAGTGATGTTTTTCTTTCACTAGATTTCATCAAATGCTTTCATAATAACAAAATCACCAATAAACAACAACAATATATTGTCAGATGGGCAGCAATAGTATTTTGCTAAATTCATGGGAGCTTTGATGAATATAAAAAAAGATAAGAATCCCATTAAAACTTGGATGGTTGCACATTTCTTGTCTTCTTAAGATGTGAACCCCATTGACACACTGGAACATTATACTTGTTTAGTCACCATCTTAAGGTTTCTGATTAAAAGGGTGGTAGTTAAACCCAGGAGAATTTAGTTTCACCCCTTTTCAGTGTGCAAACAGGTATCTAGTGGATAGCCTGGAGCATTTTGTAAATGGATTGGGCATGGAGATTAAATTAAGAAGGAATTAATGGATATAAAAGGCTTTTTATTGCTTTCTGTGTACCTGATTGTCAAAAAGGTACACATTTTTCATCTGGTAATGTAAGAATCCCAGAGGGCAACTAGGGCATATCACACTCCAGCTATAAACACACCCAGCTGTTTCTGTATGAAAATGTCAGACTGCTCATAGGTTTGTCACTAAGAGCTAAGTGATTTGTGGTACTGCAAAGATTTTTAAGGGTCCCTGATGAATTTAAATATGTACATAGAGTCCTCCTGTCTTAAAATTAGTCTTCAGATATAGAACTACATGATATTGATAAAGGAATTCCAGCTCACATGGTCTATACATCACTGTCAGCCCGTTTTAAAAACACCCACACACACTGTCCCTCACTCTTTTAAAATATATTCATGTTGCTAGCAGATACTAATATAACTTTCTGCCTGAAATGACTAAAAGTCACCTGAAATATGGTTACTCTTACTGGAACACGGTAGTGATAAAGAGGTCAGGCTTTGGAATCAGATGGGCAAGTAACAAATCCCTCGTAAATGGGTCATCTTGTTCAAGTTATTAAATCTCGCAAAGCCTCAGTTTCAATGATGGTACCATACTGATAGAATTGTTTTGAAAAATTAAATAACATTCATAGAGTTCTTAGCATCAAGCTTGGAACTAGTACGCATTTATTATGTATAAACTCTATTAAAATATATTGCATTCACTGGTTAGTATTATGTTAATCTATAAGATTTTATATTAATCAAAATGGGGAAAAGTAGGTAATCATGATTTTCCTGGTCTCATCATACTGATTTCTAGAAATGTACTTCTGAAGTGTCCCATGGGTGGGAATAACAATAGCAGTCAGGCAAATGCTTAATAACATTGACAGTGACCTTCTTAATCTTTATATTTGCATTCAATACTAATTTATAGGCTTTAATCCAATGACTAAAAAATTAAGGCTACAAGTCATTAACCATGGCAATGGTTATAAAGGGGAGAGGAAAAACTAGAGTAAAAAGAGTATATCTGATTATAGTGACAAAGTTAAAATTATGATACTGCTGATTTAGGAGCTCCTAGATCAAATAAGATTCATTTAAATCAATATACCGAGGGCTACATACAAGAATCTGTAAGCTAAATATTTTCCTTAAAAGCTGATTTCAATTTAAGTTTTAACAGCCCCAACACATCTGGTATCTCCTACCTATAGTGGAAGTTTTCTAGCTAATATTTGGCTGATTAACAATGAGCCAAAAGATTATTTACCTCTCTTACAACATGCATAAAAAATGAAGAATTGCTGACTTCAAAAACACAACCCTCAAGTTTCTGAGTAATTATATAATTAGCACGATGCTACATCTTTCTCAATTTCTCAAATGATACCAATAAAAAAAGCTCAGTTTTAAAGTTATTTATTGCATTTATTTGAAGAAAAGTTAAATTTGACTTAATTTACTTTAGATAACAATCTCTTCCAGAGCTTGGGCACTATAAGAGTGTTTCTTCTTGACTTTGATTTCAAATTGATTATCTGTTATACAAGTGCACCTCCACCTCTAAGTATTTCTCACTAATTGGTGGTCATTTTACTCATAGATCTACACTATGAGGAAAAATGTATTTCAAAACATGATGTCTGTGTTAGGTAGAGGGTTGCCTTGGTTTTACCCAATTTAAAAAATTTATGAGTATGTAAGCATTTAAACAAAAATGTTTCTTTTGTTAAGATCAGTTAAATCTTAATTACTTATGAAGATTAACTAGAACTACATGATACCATTTAGCTAGATTTCCTTTCACTTGCATCCAGATTTAACTTTGATTTTATGGAAATGGTGAAAATAACTGCAGTGGTAAAAGTGGTAGCTGTAAGTGTTGACTGTCTTGCATACTCCCTGAAAGCATTACTATTCATTAAAATAACCTTCACTTTATAGTAACACTCAAGCTGTAAACAGTCAACTTAGATTCTGGAGAACACACAGCACAAAAAGTAAAGAAATGTCTGTCTTTGCAAAGTAATTTGTCGAGTTGAAGATTATTGTTTTTCATCATGGTGACCCTGACTTGGCTGGCTGGGTGCATATACAGATTAAGATTAATGCAGTTATTCCTTGGCTAAGGTCTGCCTCTTTCAGGGCACATTCTCCCTAATGACATGATTGATAGGCAGTCCCAAATCCAGAGAGGAACTCATTAATCATAGCATTGACTGAATCCAATCATTTGCTTCACCTGCACAGTGATGGACAGGAAAGGATACAATTCAGGAGCTGACACTGAGATACTTCTTTGTCAGAGGGCCTCATCTTTTTCAATGTCAGCCTCAACAAAACCTGACAATTTTTTTTGCAACCTGTATGCAGCTTCAAAAAGATATCTGCAAACTTATTTTATTGTGAAAAAGTCTTTTAAAAAAAAGAAGCAATTTACTCTAGCTAATGAATATCTCTAAGTCAAAGTAGGATTTTCTTTACTTTTTAGCAAGGCTGTATGATCTTAAAGTTCCTCCCTTTTTTAAGGATGTTTCGAAGCTACATGTGGAAGCAATATCAAAGTTAATGTCCAGCAGCTGGGTGTCATTTGGTTCAGTCTTCAGGTCAGCAGCACTGACGCTTAGCAGAACTAATTTTATAATCATGGCAAAATCTCAGAAATGAACTGCAGTATACAGCACACAGTAAATTTTATTTAGTCTTGGAAACAGTGGAAAACCATGAATTTTCTTAATACTTACGTTGCAAAGTATAGCATGATCCCAATAGCAATTATAACAAGAAAATTGTGTGGAATACATGTGTACATTGAATATCATATTTTTTTGCACTGATATTGTTTGAAGTGTTTAAATTCTTTTTGTCATCCATTATTTCCATGTAAATAATATTCCAAGTCAACAATAGGTATATAGATCCTTCTAAAAGAATTGTTTTAGAACTGTATCTTGCACATTCCTGGTGTGGTGATTGTAGACTCTTTTTCTGGAAGAATAATCAGGATAGTGATTTTTGCTAAGTATCTGTTACAGAAAGAAACAGGAGTGGGGGACATATTTTTAAAAGGCAACAAGTGTCAAAGGCCAATTTAAAATTCCCAGTGGTAAGCACTCCTCCAAGAAGCACCCAGCCTATATTTAGTGTAATAGGCTCCCCCTTTTGACACTTCAATTAGTCTTCAATGTGTTCTACAACAGGTGTAAAGAGGAATCTAAAAAAGACAAAATACCAAAGCTATTTCAGGCATCAAAGATACTTTATATCCACAAAGAGAAAATACAAATTATTTCTTACATGTTCTTAAAAAGAAACGTTTTGTTTTCATCTCATGATTATGGCAATTTCAACAATTGCAGTAATGGGAAAATGTTTTATAGATAGGAGTACAAATGCAATAAAGACATGTTTTAGAAGAAACGATTCAATTTTTAAAAATGCTTTCAGGTGCTTAATTCTACCGTGCTGTTTATGTGAGCGGCAGCAGTTTGGGAAGGCTTACCTATTTCAGTGAAGTCTTTATGGATGCTTTGAATCTGAGATTTACATCATCTCTCCAGTCAATCTCCGTAATTACTCTCCATCTTTACAATTCTTCACTACTGATATGTATATGCTTTCTTTGTATTTAGTGCATTTATGACAATGGAGAAAAGTGAGGCCTCACAAGAAGGAGATATTGCTCTTGAACTGACTGAGCAGAAAATAAACACGATGGTCCTGGATCTCTGCCACAAACCAGGTGGCAGTGAGTACCTGAGGCAAATTTATCACATCATGCAGCTCAATGAGGTAGGGAAACAGCCTTTTTACCGAGCAATTAGGTGTTTACTGGCCTGAGGCAGCGTCTGCTGGCAGCTAAGGGTTAGTCAAGGAGGTGATAATACTTCTTAAAGTCAATACCAAACTCAATATTGCATTATTAATAGAATCTATTCAGCCCCGGCTGTTCTGCATTTGTACAGAAAAAGCTTCACTGAAACAATGTAGATTTTATTTATATAGTTTAAACAATAATACGGCTCATAAACTCAGTTCAGTTCTGAATTGTAGACTAGAGGTGTAGTTTGGGAATTGTGTGTTTGTGACTGTTAAGTTGATGTTAAAATCTGGTATTTGTAAAATGAGTTTTCTCAAGAGAGACTTAGCTCTTTTCCTGTAGACATCATGCTTGTGTTAGTGAAGTTGGAGATTTCTTCTTTAATGAAAAAACTTAAGAAGAATATTGAACTATGTCCAGGAGCAACCAGATTAGCCTAGGGAAATTCATTAATACAGACACTGGTTGAACCAATGTTATGCCTTTCTAACTCTTTGCTCAGTTAAGCCTCTGACCTTGCATGTTTTTGGCTGTTTTAGTGAAAATGTAAATAGCAGGTTATCTCACCTATTTACTTGAAACAAAGTTCTCCAACTTACTCAGGTTTTGAATTTGATCTTACATGTCTGAATTAGAATGTGGCATCTAATTGTGTTTATATTTGCAAACACATGAATATAATTTTTTCAATAGTAAAAATTGTATAATGTGTATATATAGTGTTTTCATTTTATCTCAATAATGTGGGCCTTTGTAACCATACATTTTCAAGGAATAAATTAAATTCGACATCATTTTACAACTTGATTACATATATGTTTTACCCACTATTAGCTGTCTGAAAGTTACTTCAAGTAAATCTTGTTTCCTGGATTTCATAGAGCTAATCAAACAGTTAATAAACAGGTGATATAACAATATATTCCATGATGGCCTCAGAAGGATGTAAAAAATTTGTAGCTATAACTCTGTCCTTATGGCACCAGAGCTCAGTTTGTAATTGTTACAAATTAATACAACCTATTCACTCTTGTCAGTGATCCCTCATAGCTTGCTTAGGGTTTCTATTTGGGAAACAGTTCACATTGGCAAACTGAAAGACCTCGATTGTAAAGTGATGCTTCTCATTGGTATGTCCACCTGGCCATTCAGATTGGCCAAAGTCATTGTGGCGACTATTGAGGAACAGATGTTGCAGTGTGGTTACCCCCATATCCTTAGTTAAGCAGTGTTCCAATTAGCTCTGAGGATGGTAAAGTTGGTATGAATTGCCAAACTGATAGAATAGTCCTATTTTTAAAGGTGCATATTAAAAAGTTCAATAATCACCAATAAGCAAGATCATCCAAAATTGAACTAGATATTTATTGGCCATCAGACATCTGTTTATACTCTGGAAAGCCAAAGGCTGTACTTCCCCCATAGAGCTCATATAACTCTGAGGTAGTGGTTCTGAAGAGGATACCATGAGATATACACTAGGGCATCACCACATTTTGCTCAGTGTTATGATTTCTCTTGTAACAACTGTATATATTTACTGTTATAGTAATGTCTATCAGATGGGATATAGAGCTAAGCATTTGGTGGTTTACTGGGCTGAATGAAGCACGGTACTACAAGGTAAAAGGCATAATGTTACGTGAGGCTAGAAGCAAAGAAAGAACTTTGCCTTGTAATTATTACAAAAACACAGGCAATAAGCCCAAACAACATCAGCATGACTAGGTGACTACTATAGTACTTATGACTGCTTTTCTACTATGAGGTATTGCTATGCTGTAAGTGACGTTGCATTGTGATGTTTGCTCATTTCATGAATAGTGCTATGAGTCTTCAGCACCTTCAGATGTGCTGCTAATATTTCTCAAGACTGTAATATCACTAGTGAAGCATTTATGGGTACAGGCCTAGCTGAGGGGAAGAATGGGTATGCCATTCATAGAGACAAATAAGTTATCAGGGAAAATGGGGTTAAAGATGCTTTGTCTTTGAGATAAAGATAAGATGTCCAAGCAAAAATGTCTCATTATAATTAAGGCCCTGACAATAATGTTGCATCACATCTCTTGAACCTGGTGACATCCCCTGTTGACTCCAATGGGAATGTCACCAGGTTCAAGAGACTGAAGAGACTTTGTGCTGGCAAACAAGACATGGGGTTTTATTGGGAGCTTATACACGGTGAAGAGAGTCCTGTGGTAACGGGCTGGGCAGGAAAACCACAACCACTTGCAAGAGGCATGCAGTTTATATAGAATTTTCATTTAACACCCTCTACCTAGGAACCTCCTCCTGAAAACCTTCATTTAACCCCAAACGGAGGGCCTCAATTCCCTGTATGGCTCCAGTACCATGGGATGGGCCAGGTTCCTCATAGATAAAGAATGGATCTCAGGTTGGTCCCTCCCAGATTCCTTAGCTTAGAACTCTGAAAACACATTCAAGTGCATCTGCCATACACGGTCACTCTCGGGTTATGATCAAGTAATCGCTGTCAGGTGTATATACCATACACATGGGCACAAATGAGAGCAAATGTGCACATAGATTTGGTCTGTATGAGTGTGGTAGTTGAGGTCATCAGACTGACAAAGCTCTTCAGTGAAGAGAAATGGAAAAATGATGAATAGAGGAATAAGCTTTGATGTAAATGTACAGGTAAGGTGTTCAAGAAAGAATGGAAATCTTCTAAAGATATGGCCCAATTAGTGGTGAATGTGATTAAAGCAGTGTCACAGTTAAAGAATCTGAGGTTTTTAAGAAGGGTTAGTGATGAGTGTCAGTGTAGTACACAGAAAGATCAACAAAGGAGAAAATTCCATTTTCTTCGCAATTTACAACAGAGCAGTTGCTCTTTTTTGAATAGTGGAAATAGTCAAAATGTAGTTACATATGGTGAAATCAGTTAAGACAGATTGTTATTAACCAAAACAAAGTATTTTTGTCAATGAAGAAAGTATTCCTTTTAAAAATTATATTTGCGTAAATTATAATGGAGAAAAGTTTTGTTTCTGTTCAATAATCTGAATCTAGGCATAAAGTTATTTTCTGATGGCTTTATTATTAACAATATTTAGTAAGAGTCCATGTGTGACCCTCTATCAGACATTAAAGAATTACTCTTTCTAAAGAGATATGCTCTACAACAGGGGTCCCCAACTCCTGGGCCACAGACCTCTACCAGTTGGTGGCCTGTTACAGCAGGAGGCGAGTGGTGGGACTGTGGGCATTACCACCTGAGTTCTGCCTACTGTCATATCAGCAGCGGCATTACTTTCTAATAGGAGCATGAACCCTATTGTGAACTGCGCATTTGAGGGATTTAGGTTGCGTGTTCCTTATGAGAATCTAATGCCTGATGATCTGAGGTGGAACGGTTTCATCCCAAAACCATATTCCGCCCCCCCCGTCCATTTCCATGGGACAATTGTCTTCCCGGAAACCGGTCCCTGCTGCCAAAAAGATTGGGGACTGCAGCTCTATAACAAGTTCAAGAAATAACTATGATTGTTAACTTCGGCGGTGGTTTCTTTCAATTTTTAGGATTTTATAATCTAAAATTTTCCTCTCACAATTAACACAGTGAGCATTCATAAAGTTATAGAGGCACAGAAAAAATCATAGTGTACTGAAACTAGAAAAAAGTGGCTCCTCACCACAGCTCTACCTCTCACCTCTGTATGATCTCAAGATTGTCCCTTGATCTTTCAGCGCCACCATTAAGTCTGGCATAGGGCTAGAGTTTCTCAACTCTCCTGTGCCTACAGATCTACCGGGATTTTTTTTTTTTTTTTTGCCAGACGGAGTCTCTCTTTTGCCCAGGCTGGAGTACAGTGGCATGATCTCTGTTCACTACAACCTCTGCCTCTCGGGTTCAAGTGATTCTCCTGCCTCAGCCTCCCAAGTAGCTGGGATTACAGGCTCCTGCCACAACACCTGGCTAATTTTTGTATTTTTAGTAGAGACAGGGTTTCACCATGTTGGCCAGCCTGGTCTGGAACTCCTAACCTCAGATGATCAGCCCACATTGGTCTCCCAAAGGGCTGGGATTACAGGTGTGAGCCACTGCGCCCAGCTGGAAATTCTTGTTAACAGGCAGGTTTTGATTCAATAGGGTCCAAGATTCTACTTTTCTTTTCTTCTTCTACTTCTTTTTTTTTTTGAGACGGAGTCTTGCTCTGTTGCCTAGGCTAGAGTGCAATGGCATGATCTCAGCTCACTACAGCCTCTGCCTCCCAAGTTCAAGTGATTCTCCTGCCTCAGCCTCCCAAGTAGCTGGAATTACAGGTACTTGCCATAACTCCTGGCTAATTTTTGTATTTTTAGTAGAGACAGGGTTTCATCATGTTGGCCAGGCTGGTCTCAAACTGCTGACCTTGTGATCCGCCTATCTTGCCCTCCCAAAGTGTTGGGATTACAGGCATGAGCCACTGTGCCTGGCTAAGATTCTGCTTTTCTAACAAGCTCCCAGGTGAGGCTTAACTCTGATTCAGTGCCCCAGGCTTTGAGTAGTACAAGTGTTCTGGATGACGTCTGAATACCTTTTGGCGCTAACATTATGAACTTCATCCTAACCCTAACCTTGAAGAAAAAAATTACATTGTGACACGCTAAACATCACAAGAACATTTATATTTTTTAAATCTATTAGACGACTTATTTATTAATAGTAAGCATTTATTAGTTGATGGGAGACTTTTAGTCATTTTAATTTGTCATCTTCCAGAAAAAGTTCCATAAAATACATTAGGATTGTTCACCTTATTTATTTATGGGTGGAAAATAAAATATAATGTTGTAGATTGGCTCTTTTGCCCAGGCCTGCACTGGCAGTTGGGGGCTTATCATGACACATTTTGAGCTTCTATTGAACCTTGATATTTTTCAGTCTATGGGATGGAAATAAAGTTTAGGAGCTTGCATTATAATTAATTCTGCATTGAATGAGACTGCTTGCAGAAAAATGTCAGAATACTCAGTGTTCTGATGAGCCTTAGAGTAGTTAACAACTACACTTAATGAATGGAGGGGCAATCTTGTACTGTGAATAATCATGTAGCTGAGTTAAGTTTTGGTAACCAGACAAGTTAATGGTGAACCAGTGACAAGACAATACCTGTTAAAGAGGTCCTGATATATCAATCATACATTCATTATATAAGAGTTTGGTAAATGGTTTCCTAATCAATACTATGTATTAGGCAAACCTATTTTTGACGGGCTTATTGCAATGCTGACTGGTACTTGCTATGTATCTTCTGAAAATGTATTCTTCCCTGAGGCAAATAATACACTGTAATCTAGCCAATGTGCTGAAAGGATAAATTTGGATATTAATCAGTTTACTTTTACAGAGAATGTCTGCTTCTTACCATCACAACTTGTAATTTCTTTTCTTTGAAGGAATATTTAAAAGAGCAGCTGTTTTCTATGAATAGTTCAGAGGAAAAGCCATTACCCATCCGACCTTTAAAGACAACCTTGAGGAGTGTGGAAGATCAGCCTTCTGCCTTTAACCCTTTCCATGTGTATAAGGCGTTTAGTGAAAACATGCTAGATCAGGTATGTGGAAATTAAATGGTAAATTTAATTTAAATGTGTGGTTTCTTTAAGAAAAAAATTGCTTTGTGTTTGAGTATTTACTCATAAGCTTTTTTTGGTAGGAAGCAAAAGACCTTGTACATGGTCTGTACAAATTGACTTTTAAAAGTTTCCTTACCTTCTTTTTATTTGTCAACCTGATGGATATGTTTGATCTGTAAAACTTAACTTTTGGCCAGGTCAGTGTACCATGGGCAGAGGGAACATCTGTTAGGCCATGTCTACAGAAGACTGAAGAAGCAGGCATTTTGTAACATTCCTTTCCTCCCTTGTCACCCCCATGCCCCAATATACACACTCACAAAACACCTTGCAATCTTTATGAATGTATCAGGCAAATTAGAAAATAGTTAAAATTAATTATAAATAGAGCACTGAGCTCCTGGTTTAAGTGGCATGGGATAAATTTTCTTTTTATAACCGTAGATACAGTCCCAAATTTAAAATGAATTTCTTCATGATCTTAAGGCCAGGCTATTTGGAATAAAGTCAATGTGATAAACACCGCACATTTTTTAATGTCAGATTGTGCCATTGTTTAAGCTGCATGTTTTAGTATATACACTGGAAACATCATCTTTCTGCCAAAGTATTTGAAATCTAAAGTTGCTTTGGCTTTGTTCATTCTTCTGGTGGCTTTTCCCAGAAACCTCTTGACAGACAATGTGAACTAACAGGGCAGAAGAGAAGGATTGCTTGACCTAGAGTTCTGATGAAAATAAGAATTAAAACAATGGCCTAATTCAGCATGCAGATAATATTTTTACCATGCCTGTTGTAGCTCTAGTCTACACTCATCAATACTGTAGTGGAGTAAGACCTTCAAATGCTGACAACCCGGGGCAGAATTCTCCTGCTCTGTGACAGCATTGTAGTGCTCGATTAATCAGCAGGTGACAGGGGATAGCTCTTGTTGGATTTTAAACATCAGTCTGGTCTCTTGTTATCAAAACGATTTCATTTTAAGGAGCATAAGCATTTATAATACTTTAAATATACTATCTAAGTTTGAGTTTATTGGCTCCTTTTTTATGTTGTGCATTACATTGCTCCAAACTATAAATAATTATTGTAGCTGTTAAATTTTCCTTACTTCATTTAAATAAATGGCATATTTTATTGAGTTCTAAATTATGAGACTATTTTTCACAGTAATTTTTCTCCTTAGTCTGTTGTGAAATTTCTCTTAGTGAGAAGAATCATTTATGTAATTTACACTTACATATCCTCATAATCTTCCCTTTAAAGCATTTTCTTAACTAAAAAGGTACCGTTAATATCACACTCTAATTAAGTTGTATCTTATAATTTGATAGTACTTCCAAGTTTGTTTTTTAATCAAACTTTTGGTTGCTGAAAAGAAAATAAAACTAAAAATTGATGTGATGCATGCAAAAGTTGCCAATTATTTTGCTTTGCTTTTCAAACAGTCTCCTTCTCAGAGAAACTTGTTGGGCAAATGCCATTAACACTTGGAAGAATAACGACTCAAGAAATTGATTTATATTTTTATAAATAATGACTACATCCCCAAATGGATTTATAAATTAATTGCTGTCTTATTGGAACAAAAACCTTCTTTTGTGGACATGATTGATGTTATCTGTCTAAGTCCTTGTTCTGGACCCCCCTCCTTCTTAGTTAGTCTATCACAGCTGGAGCTTTAATTTACTGATCATATTAACTCTGATTAATAACTAACAATAGTGTCTTCTCATTTATCAACAGTCAGCCATCACAAAATGGAACTGGAATTGGACAAACTTGCTGCCAAATTATCTGGGACTGGATAAGATGACCTTCAGTGTGCTGCTCAAAAACAGGTAATAAAACTGGGGATCTTGGAGGTCTGGTTGAGGGACAAGGTTCTCTGTGTCCGTATGTGTGTGCGTCTGTGTGTGTGTGTGTGTGTGTGTGTACACATATACATGTTTTACTAGCATACTTTTGGGAAAAGTAAAAACATTTTATCAGCAGGGGAATCTTTTATTTTATTCCTCTCCAGCCTCCCATCTTTTAAAAATATTGTTAAAATTATATGAGTATACTCTCTAAATGCCATTCTCTATAGTGAAAATATGTAAAAGGCAGTAACATTTGTTTCAGAGATGAAATTAGTGGATTTTAGTCTGAATTTTAAATATTTTTGACTTTGTGTATTTAATAGTTCACTACTGTAAACACCAAAAGTTATTAACTTGAACATCATTATAATACTATACCTTTGTTTACAACAACATAATGAATGCGTATAAAGTGCCAAGCCAAATCAACTAGTCTAATCAGGAAAACATGTAAGTAAAACTGTCATGATTAAATTTTTCACTTTTCAGCCAGTTATGTTGGCACTGTCTTAACGATAGCCACAGTAGCATGTTATTTTACACACACATACATACACAACCCCCCCAGTACAATCTAATGAAATGATAATGTGATTTCGGCCTAGGAAACTATATGTAATTTATTTTGCACAAAAGTATGAACACTTTGTTGTGGATATATTAACATGGTTTTAAAAAAATGTTTAAAGTTTCAGTGAAAACTATAAGGCGTAAACTAAAACTTTGGATTTTTAATCAAGTATAATACATTTTCAAATAAGATATATTTATATGAGATTCTCTTTATTGTTTGAGTCATCTGTGTGCTTATAGCTAAGATTGAGAGTTATCATCTATATGATCTTTGTGATACAGAATGTATTTCCATATCGTTTTGCAAAAATATTGAGTATCTTTTTTTTTTTTTTGAGACGGAGTTTCGCTCTTGTTACCCAGGCTGGAGTGCAATGGCGCGATCTCGGCTCACCGCAACCTCCGCCTCCTGGGTTCAGGCAATTCTCCTGCCTCAGCCTCCTGAGTAGCTGGGATTACAGGCATGCGCCACCATGCCCAGCTAATTTTTTGTAGTTTTAGTAGAGACGGGGTTTCACCATGTTGACCAGGATGGTCTCGATCTCTTGACCTCGTGATCCACCCGCCTCGGCCTCGCAAAGTGCTGGGATTACAGGCTTGAGCCACCGCGCCTGGCCTTATCTTTTGTTTTTTTAAGAAAACAATGACAATAACATAGAATTGTCAAATCATTCTTTAGAAATCTGGATGAATATAAGAAAATATCTTAAGAGAGAGATTGTAGTATTTCCCAGAAGGAAGTTATAGAGGCAGCTTTATTGCCAATAAAAGCTATAGCTTAGATGTGAGGTCACAATGGTATTTATAATATTTCACCCCTTAATTAAGCTCACCCACCCATCATAGAGAAAATTCAACAACCCAGAAGCTTACTGATCAACACCAGAGCCTTTCCCCAGCAAGCTTACCACCTGGCTGGCAGCAGTCCAGATGTACCGTATTTGTACACAAGCCCCCAGAGGTGTACTCCTACTGTCCCAAAGATGTTTGGAGAGGTGAGAGATGGGGTTGGTGGAGGAGAGGCCAGGTCCTCTGTTGAATCTGTAGTCACATGATGTTTATACAATATTAAATGTCTGTCGGGAAACAAACTAAGAAAGATAAGTAATTATTTTCCTGTTTGGAAAGTTTTGAGTTTATGTAGATTAACTCTATTATATTTTACTAAATTTATTTTCAGTCATGAATTGCTGCTTCCAGTCCACTAAATGGTCTTCTAGGGCCAACACATCCCTCAAAACGTACTGCATTTGCTTTTTATAATATTCACCTCTAAGTGAATTTGTGCTTTAAGAATTGCATGGTTTTTTTTTTGTTTAAGGACATTGGATCACTAACTATTAAAGGGTATTTTCCTAAGATCTGTGCAGGAGTGGGTGGGAAAAAAGAACTCCTACAAACTTAGCCAGAAACAACAGGTCAAAACAGTTTTCTTGGAAAAGGGTCATGAATTTTTAATAGAAACAGCTAGAATTTCATCTTAATAAGAACCTTAGATTTTTAAAGAATTGTATGAAAATCATTCTACCGCAAACCTACCACACACAAGCTATGATGAAGCTAATTGATTCACCTTAGAAGGATTAAAGACACCTGAGGGTTTTCAATCTCTTCTCTCACTCTCCCATTTATTTTAAGAATGTTATTTATGAGTTTTGATTAATATTGAACTGGTAAGGAAATTGTTAGTTTCTTGATGACACCCTCTTGTCTCTCTTATTTAGACTTACCTGAAAATGCTGATGTTTTTTAGTAGTACTATGTTGACAAAATGGTTATCTGAAAGATACATGCTTGAAAATGAGACCAGGCCGGGTGTGGTGGCTCACGCCTGTAATCTTAGCACTTTGGGAAGCCAAGGCGGTTGGATCACGAGATCAGGAGTTCAAGACCGGCCTGGCCAAGATGGTGAAACCCCATCTCTACTAAAAATTCAAAAATTAGCCAGGCATGCTGATGGGTGCCTGTAATCCCAGCTACTCAGGAGGCTGAGGCATAGAATTGCTTGATCCCGGGAGGCGGAGGTTGCAGTGAGCCAAGATCACACCACTGCACTTCAGCTTGGATAACAGAGCAACACTTCATCTCAAAAAAAAAAAAAAAAAAAAATAGACCATAGGACATTGAGCTTTTAGAATGAGAGATATATATGCCATCCAACATCTACCAACTATGGTGTTTGGGGTTAGGGGTAGCCAAAGGAAAGAGTTCAGAGCAGTTTAGCTGAATATGCTCAGTTTTTTCTCCCAGATTTACCAATTAAATGAGTCACTTGTTCTCTTTTTGCCTCTTTTACTGGTAATATATTTGTAATAGTCTATCTCTATACTATGTTCTAGTGTATGTATGGGGCTGTGAATGTTGTCTGAGAACATAATATTAAAAGAAAAGTGAACTGAAATATACAAGTATGATAACAGTTAAAGAGAAGGAAAAAGAATCCTTTTTATTCACTTTAAATTCCTTTGTGCCTTGTCTTCAGCATTCATATAATAAGCAGACCATCTGTGGAATTAGTCTCCCCATATGCCTAGAGTGTACTAGACCTCCCTTTCCCACTAAATAACATGGAGACTGGAAAGCAGGATTCCTGGGTTCTCAGGCACTTACATTTGACTTTAGATTTCCTTATCTTTAAAATGAAATAATAATAATTGTAAAGCTACTTCATGGAGATTGTTGGCATGGTCAAGGGTGCTTTAGCACCCTTTGGAAGTGTTTTTGAAAGCTGATAACATGATAGAGTCATCTCTCAGTATCCATTGGGGATTGGTCCCACGGCCCTCTCAGGTACTAAATTCTGCAGACGCCAAGTCCCTGATATAAAATGGTGTCATATTTGCATATAACCTATGCATATCCTCCCATGTACTTTAAATCATTTCAAGATTACTTATAATACCTAATGCAATTCTTACACATCAGTTTATTTGTGTGGATTCAGTGTAATACTTTGCATGCAACAAATTCAAGTTTTGCTTTTTGGAACTCAGTGGAATGTTTTTTCCCAAAATATTTTCTGTCTGTGGTTGATTTAATTCATGGATGCAGAACCCACAGATACAAAGGCCCCACTGTACATATTCACAAAAGTAGTAACATAGCAGCAGTTTTGGTATCTAGTCAGGTAAGGAAACTCTAAAGTCCATTAAGGATTAGTAGAAAGTTGTAAGATTGAACACTCAGACCACTCAGGTTATGTGGACTCCAGGCCTAAACCAATAGTGAGAATCAGAACAAGTATCAGATCAGAAACCAGGCAATGGGCCCTTAGGTCTGGAAGATAAACAGAAAATGAGCAAGAAAGAAAGTCAAAAAGCCAAGTGAACCACTCAGGTAATAAAGACTCAGGAGATAAAGACTTGAAGGACAGTTCAGACACATGGAAGAGATCTGTGTGGCCACAAAAGTGTTGGTATCTGAGTCAATGCTGGCCTTTGTTTCATAGGCTGGTTCTGTGCCGACTCCAAAGGAAGGACAAATCTCGAAGCAGCTACCTGAGTCCTTGGCAAAAATGTGTTCTTCATTCACTATCTGACCTCATCTCAAAACACCTCCTTCCGATTCATGATGCTCTAAATAGAATGCTTTCTTTATGTTCTTTGGATTTTCTAAACACTTTCCTGCTTCAGGGTCTTGGTACTTGCAGTTCCCTCAGCTCTTCAAATGGCTGGTGCTGTCTTGTCCATCTGAGGCAAATGTTACCTCCTAAGGAGACTTTTCTATCTCACCCACCTAAAGGGATCCTCCAGGCTACCCTAGCATTCTACTCTACTGTGTTTTCTTGGGTTATTGCTATCTGAGATATTTGTTTCTGGATATTGATTGTCTTTTGATCTTACCCTCTGTGGTAGAATGTAAACTCCATGAGAATAGCACTTTGTTTGCCTTATCCCGGCGATGTCTTCAGTGCCTAGAATAGCCCTTGAACACAGAGCAGGCTCTAAGTAGTGTCTGTTGAATTAATTAATTAAAAAAATGAGGAATAAGAATGTAGAGAAAAAATCAGCTCTTGACAGATGAGCACAGGGTAGGTATTCTTATGTGATGTTTAATTAATAGACATGTAGGCTTAAGAATATTTGCTGGAAAATCTGAAGTAAAAAAATATCCATATGCATATTAATTCTCTTCCTTTTCCAAATGTGGGTGAAAATCAGGTTATTTAAGCTGTGTGTATTTAAAATAATATGTTGTAACAGCCACAAAAAGAATAAAATACCTAGGAATACAGCTAACCACGGATGTGAAACATCTCTACAACAAGAATTACAAACCACTGCTCAAGGAAATCAGAGATGACAAAAGCAAATGGAAACATTTCATGCTCATGGATAGGAATGATTAGCATTGTTAAAATGGCCATACTGCTCAAAGTAATTTACAGATTCAATGCTATTCCTATC